TTGATGTACCGTTTAATGTAATGGTGTAGTAAATCATTGGTGTACTATATAATGTAATGATGTAGTAAATCATTGATGTACCGTTTAATGTAATGGTGTAGTAGCAAGTCATTGATGTACTATGTAATATAATGATATAGTAAGTCATTGATGTACTGTATAATGTAATGATGTAGTAAATCATTGATGTACTATGTAATGTAATGATGGAGTAAATCATTGATGTACTATATAATGTAATGGTGTAGTAAATCATTGATGTACTATATAATGTAATGGTGTAGTAAATCATTGATGTACTATATAATGTAATGATGTAGTAAGTCATTGATGTACTATATATAGTGTAATGATGTAGTAAGTCATTGATGTACTATACAATGTAATGTAGTAAATCATTAATGTACTATGTAATGTAATGATGGAGTAAACCATTGATGTACTATATAATGTAATGGTGTAGTAAATCATTGGTGTACTATATAATGTAATGATGTAGTAAATCATTGATGTACCGTTTAATGTAATGGTGTAGTAAATCATTGGTGTACTATATAATGTAATGATGTAGTAAATCATTGATGTACCGTTTAATGTAATGGTGTAGTAGCAAGTCATTGATGTACTATGTAATATAATGATATAGTAAGTCATTGATGTACTGTATAATGTAATGATGTAGTAAATCATTGATGTACTATGTAATGTAATGATGGAGTAAATCATTGATGTACTATATAATGTAATGGTGTAGTAAATCATTGATGTACTATATAATGTAATGATGTAGTAAATCATTGATGTACTATTTAATATAATGATGTAGTAAAATCATTGATGTACTATTTAATGTTATGGTGTAGTAGCAAGTCATTGATGTACTATGTAATATAATGATATAGTAAGTCATTGATGTACTATATAATGTAGTGGTGTAGTAAATCATTGATGTACTATGTAATGTAATGGTGTAGTAAATCATTGATGTACTATGTAATGTAATGGTGTAGTAAATCATTGATGTACTATATAATGTAATGATGTAAATCATTGATGTACTATATAATGTAATGGTGTAGTAAATCATTGATTTATTATGTAATGTAATGATGTAGTAAATTATTGATGTACTATATAATGTAATGATGTAGTAAATCATTGATGTACTATGTAATGTAATGATGTAAATCATTGATGTACTATGTAATGTAATGATGTAGTAAATCATTGATGTACTGTATAATGTAATGATGTAGTAAATCATTGATGTACTATGTAATGTAATGATGTAGTAAATCATTGATGTACTATGTAATGTAATGGTGTAGTAAATCATTGATGTACTATGTAATGTAATGATGTAGTAAGTCATTGATGTGCTATGTAATGTTATGATGTAGTAAATC